AAGAAGTCATCATTTTAGTGTTTCATCAAGCACAGAATTCAATAAAAAATCACACCAAAAATTTTAAGCTGTTTTAAGCAAAATACATGGTCTTTACTCTGAAAGAGTATGTGACTTAATTCTACAGATGAAACACAGGCATATTAAAGGAAATGTAAAAATAAAAGTCAACATATGATATATTCAAGTAAGTGCTATAAATGTAAAATATTATGGAAATATAAAATGGAAATGGCTATTGAATTTCTGGGCCATCGAGAGATGTCACAGAAGCTGGAGAGCACGTATAGATTATTTGACCTTAATATCAGGGCAGGATTAACACAGGTAGAAAGGACATGAGAAATATTATCATGCTCTCAAACTCTACAAATATCTTATGATAAGTCACCTAGATGGGAGTGTAAAAGGCAAGTTCCAAATTAAGGAAAAGGAAACACCTGGCCCTAATGGAATGCTATGCCACTTAGAGTTGGAAAAATAAGTTGGAGTATAATCATAAAACTGGAGTCCAAGTTGCAAAGGATGTCATTAAAAAGGATATGGTATTTCTATTTGTAAGCACTAAAGAACTACAAAAATTTCTAAGTCATATAATAAAAACATATTTAAGATGCAGTCTGAAAATAGAAACTCATGTAAAGGATACCCTTAGGAGGCTATTAAAAAAGGAATTTCTGTAAGCATATCTACATAATCGACTGATAGGCTAATCACAAAATTCATATATAAATGAAACAAACCAAGAATAGCTTCTTCCTTTAAAAAGGGAAAAGCTAGAAAGACACATTCTATCAGACCTGAAGACATTATAAAGTCTGAGGATTTAGCCATCAGATATGAAGTCCATTGCCAAGTACTAGTTACTAAGGCAGTTCGGTGTTCTTAAAGGAGAGACAAACAGAATGAAGCAGAGACTCCAGAAACAGACACATCTAAAAATGAAATCAGTTTAAATAAAAAAAGAAAGACATACATATACGTAGGTGTCACTGAGAGTTCAACCATGGAGGTGGTCACTGAACCACTCCTGGTGATCTTGGAGGATGCACAGAGAGGAAACATCACAAAACTGGATACTGAAGGGAAGACTGTTGATCGTGGAAAAAACAGATGGTGCTTATCACAATTTACCACAAAATCTAGGATTATTAAATAAATGATTTGAAGTTTTAGTGTTTTCCCATGAATTTACTATTTAAATATATTCATATTGTTGAATAATATATGACCTCCACTTGGTTCACTAATTGTTAACAGTTTGCTATACTTAATATCACTCTCTCTAAATACACACACCCAACTTTTGTTAACCATATGAAAGCAAACTGATAATAACATGACATTCACATCTAAATACTTTAGCATGTAGCCCTTAAGAAGTATTTTCTCCTACATACCTACAATACCATTGTATTGCCACAAAATTCTTTTTTGCATATTACAGTTCTGAGATAATTACCTTTCCCTTGGAGGATAGACTTTAGAAATTCCTTTGGGAATTATTGGGTTTTTGTTTTGTTTTGTTTTTCTCACTCTTGCAGGGTGTACTACCTGGGGTTGAGGTTACCTTCTCCAAGAACTTTACAGTATTATTCTACTTTATTTCATTTTTGCTGTTAGGAACTTTGCTGATTGTGATGATTAATTTCATTTGTCAACCTGGCCAAGGAGTGTCCAGAGATTTGGTTAAAGTTTATTCTTGGCGAGGGTGTTTTGGATGGGATTGACTTTGAATCAATAGATGAGTGACTGTCCTCCCCAATGTGGGTGGGCAATCCATCGAAGATCTGTTAAGAACAAAAGGTTGAGAAAAAGAGAAGTTGCTCTCTTTGCCTGTCCTGGAATGGGGACATAATCTTCTGTCCTCAGACTCAGATGCAAACAGGAACTTACGCCATCCTCTCTTCTCTTTTCATACCTTCAAACTAGGATTGGATTTATTCATCCACACTCCTGGGTCTCCAGCTTATTGATCGTAGGTGTTGAGATTCCTCAGTTTCCAGAACAGGATGAATCAATTCTTTATAATAGATAAATATGTATTCTATTGGTTCTGTTTCTTTGGAGAACTTTGAATAACATACTGATGGCATAACTGTCATTCTTGGTTTGTGAGAGCTTTTTTTTTTCTGGTTTATTTTAAGGATTTCTTTCTTTGGTGTTTCTGTAATGTTATTACTAACCACCTAAGGTCCTTTTTTATTTATTGCCTTTGTGAATTGTCAGAATCCATACATTTGAGATTTTCATCCATTCTGGGAAGATTTTAGGCACGATCTCTTTGAATATTGTTTTTCAACCTTTATCCTTTCCTTGGGAATTCTAGCTAGACATATGAGATAGACATTCTACTGACCATGTCTTGCAACAATTCTTTAATATTCTGCACCTCTTTATATCTTTGTGCTTCTTCAGATTTAACCTCCAGTTCACTAGTTTTCTCTTGAGTGTGTCTACTCTACTGAATGATATACGCACATTTCTAATTTCCAATTATTATATTTCTCATTTCTAGATAACCTGTTAGGCTATTTTTTCAGGCGTTCTTAATTGTTTTTATAGAACTTTATCCCTTAGTCATGCATAATTTAAATACCATCATTTATTTCCAAATATATTAAGTCTATACTTAAACACTTCATGAGTAATTCCAATATCTGTATTTTTTATATTCTAATTCTGTTATTTATTGTTTCTTTAGCATCTCTCTCATGGTGACTTATTTCCTTCCATGTTTTGTGATTTTGCTTGCAGCTCTAGTTTTTAAAACCTTTTCCTTGAGATTGCCTGAGACTTGAATAATAGCGTTTTTCCTCTCCATAGTCTGAATTTGCCTAGACAGGGTGTGTGCGGGTACCACCAAATTGATTACCTTTAAATTTTCAGCTTGGGTTCTTTCAGAAAATCTGAAGACAACACAGTTGCAAACCTGTATGAGCTTCCACTTTGGGTCATAAATTATCAGTTAAGTCTTTTCCTTCCTCTCTACCCAAGGCAAGGTCAGTAGGGAAAGTACCCTTACTGTCTTCCTTTGAAGGCTGGGGCTTTTTGATAACATTAGCTTTTAACTGAATGTGTCACTAGTGACATGTTCGGCTTTATTCTGAAGTTTTATGACATAAGCTTTATGCGGAACACCCAATCTGATTTTCCACCTCGAGTAAGACCTAAGTTCTTCATGTGTTCCCAGAACATGACTTTATCAAAAACACAAGTCAGGTGTCATTCAGAAACCCAGGAAGTGTTCTCCTGCCTCTAGATTTATGATTTCTCATTGTCATGGGACTGTGAAAAATTTTCTTATTTTATCAACATAAACATTCATTTTAAAAGACTTGAAAATATATTATCCTATATTTTAGGATCCTGGTTTTTTTGAGGACATGAAGTCTTCCTTAGTAGCAGGAAAATGTTCTGGATTAAGTTTCAATAATTTTTCATCCAAGTCATAGCAAGACATTTACTTCCTTTAATCAGAAAAAGTAACATGTAATACTATAACTATTCTTATCAAAATTTATTTTAACTCAGGTTCCAATTTTTCTTTCACAGCAGAAAATTTTCTTGTAATTTGGAATAAAATCATTCACTTCCACTTTAAAATTTATTTTTCCTTTGGCAAACTCACAGCCAATCCATGAACATCCATAGGATCATTTCTTCATGTGGTAAAGGTTTAAAATTAAGTATCAATCTTCTACATTTCCCTAACATCCAGCAAAATGAGAGTTTTGTTTTTTTGGTTTTTTTTTTAATTTTTTTTTTAATAGAGGCATGTTTTTATTTATTTATTTGTTTGTTTGTTTGTTTGTTTGTTTTGTTTATACATGCACTGGGTACAGTCAGAAGCGCGGGAGGGTGAGAGAATTCACCAGAGCCAGAGTGGGGAGCAGAGCAGGCAGAAGGACCGAAGTACACTGCTGAGGGGAGCAGCGGGCGGCAGGAGAGGTCTGCGCGCCATGTGGGACCCTCCTCTGGTGGCCGGGGAGCAGCCGGGGATTGAACCAGCGCTGCAGAGGCCGCGGGCAGCTTCGCAACCCAGCGCTCAACCGCTGCGCCACCAGGGAGGCCCAAAATGAGAGTTTTGAATTGCCTAAGCACAAGTTTCCCTCCACATCTACTCCCATGACCAAGCTCTAGGAAACATCCCTTGTTATCAAGGGAGAAGGCATAAGACACTCCCTAGGGAGTAGTTTTCCAGTTCTTTTCCCATGCAATTATTCAAATAAGCCAATCACATCCTACTGGGGGAAACAGAAGAAACACCACACCCTCCTTTTACTACGAAATTTGCATTCCACAGCCCTTAGTTGTTCACTCTGTTCCTGAGTACAATCCCTGAGTGGCATACAGTGCAGTCTGCCTTGGGCTGTGAGCACAGTTGATCTCATCTGTGCAGTGACAAGTGTTGTGTGTTTAGCCACCCCTGCACCCATTCAGGCAGGAATCTCCCTCACAAAAGGGCGAATAAGAGGCAATAAAAATTACTGTCATCATGAACAGCATCACATGCCCAAGGACACCTGGTCAGCTTTAATAGACTGCCCTTGGCTTACTTAAGGGGTTATGTTACCTGGTAAAGTCTACCTGAGATGGAGCAACTAACTGTTGGCAAGCTGGAGTTGTGTCTTCCGTGGGATTCTGTTGTCTTTGTCGGCCATTGCCATCTTTTTCCACCATAAAATATTTTTGTCTCTAAGATGAGAATTATTGTTATTTGACTATTCCCTGAAGTAATCAGGTATTGTCAGGTTAAGTCTGGGTTTGGCAGATGATATCTCAGGTTTCCACCTGTAAAGGTAGTGAAAATACAGTGCCTTAATCAATCAGCACTTCAGTCCTGACTACTAAGAGTCCAGCTACGTTATTGCGTCTAGCCTGGTGACCATGACTGGCTGCTTGAGGAAGCAATAATAGATATTGTTTGCATCATGTAGCTCTGGGACACCCCCAGAGACAACGCTTTATAAGGTTTGTGAAGAGGCAGAAATCACCACCTTGCAGAGAATTAAGCATGGTGTCCTGGTTTTTATTGCTGTTGGTCATGCAAGGGTAGTAACCTTGCTTATCTCCTGTGCTGCTCTTTTCCTTGTCGATGTTGCTTGTGTTCTCCTGACCCTCAAGGTTATCGAGGTGCACATCCATGGTGGCCCGTGGTCCAGGGGCTGATGAGAAAAAAAAAGGTGGGAGGAGGAAGGAATATTTGGTACTCAATGGCTCGCCCAATGCAAATCCCACAGTCAATGCACCTAGGCTTTGCCAGTACTGCTGTCCATCAGCATACCAAAGACCTGATCTTATACTCATGTGTCCGATGGCTTCTGTCCAAGCCATAGGCAGAATAATTTTTACTGGAAGTGGAACCAGATTCCAGGGAGATTGGCAATGCTTAGAGAAAGAAGTGGCACCTCCATAAATTCCTGAGAGTTACCTGATAAATCCCTGACACTATCAAGAAGCAGGTATTGATGTCTCTCAACACCTATAAGGTTAATACATGTTCAATGTATTTCAATCTCTTTTGTGTTAAGGACGTAAATTTTTTCCTCATCTACAAATTTTATTTAATGTCATTGTGCTGTTAACTTAAATAACTCAGCCTACCTTGAGGAGGTCCTCCTCCTATGAAAGGCTCCAGAAATCTATCAAAATTAAAATCAACAAGCACTCTGTTTATTGTCCTCAGAGCCCTCTTCACTATGTATGATTTTGCAGGGTTATCTAGTGACTCCTGGAGTCTTTTCACTACTTGTGATGGCTACAAGTTGTCCAAAGTCTTCTGAAATATGAAAGTGCCTTTCTCAACCTTGCATGACACACCATTATAGCAGCTATATTGGCAACATACTAGGCTTTTCTGGAAATACTGGTTCTTACAAACCTTGACCTTGTGACCCTATGTACCAGCTATCCAATATTCTGAGTTATTGAAGCAGAACCCCAAGAGCTCAATATGGTTGCTGAGTCCGCCTTACATAGGATGGAGTTGAACTTAAGGCCCCTTGGCTCAGTCCACCTCTAGTAGGGAGAGACCTCCCCAGCTCTTAGTCCTTGACATATGCCATAGTGCTGGAGGGGGTCACCTCCCTGCCAGGGCAACTGACTAGTTGGGGAGCCCCTTAGGATAAAATGAATGAACAACTCACACATTTTACTGATACAGCACCGCCATCATACATGATGGAATTCAGGGAGAGCTCTACTTTGCCTCCTAAACCAGAATGCCTCTGATAAGGAAGAGGACCCAAGGGTCAGCACAACTGGCAAGCAGTTGATCAACAACTGGCCACATTTGACCATTTTTACAAATTCTTAGTCCTGAGTAAGACTTGCTCCCCTTGGAGAAAAACCTCTGGGAATCTCTCCCTCCACAGATAGCCCCAAAATTAATAAAGGTAACAGATTTCTCCACATATACTAAGGTCACTAAGATACTCCCTATCCTCTTTGGAGTTCTAGATACTACCGACAGTGTTCAAGGCACTCATTTCTCAGAACACACAATGTTTGACGCATTCAATCTTCTACCTCCCCCACCAGCCCCATACACGTGGTTTAATTGAGAATCTTAGGCTCCTCAAAGAACTCACAAAGTAAAAAATTCACCCCCACACATCAGAGATATCCATTCCCCCCACCAATGACACACAGATCTTTGCCTTGACATCTGATAAGAGAGGCCTTGAATGGATAAACGGCAAATTCCCCTCTTTACTGTGCTCCCCTAGAGAAGGCCGCTTCACCAAACAACCCTCCTTTTCAAAGGAACCAGGCACAATTCCTGATTATTTCTGAATAGTGGTTTTCAGTTGCTTGCCTGTTTGCAGAATTATTCAACAATCCAATGATATCTTCCCAGAGGACAAGAAGACACCCTCTGAATAGTACAAAGCCTGTCCCTCTCCCAGTTCCTGTTGTTCACTGTTCCCCAAAGTATTGCTATGTAGCCCTACATGGTATCTCCCTCCCCAAGGATATGACAATTAAACTTCTGTCCATTTCATCTGATCTCAACCTATCCAGTGTCAGGTGCCATGTGTATGGTTCTCCCCCTACCCTAGGGTGGGAACCCCCCTTTCACTAATGGGATAAGTAAGTGATGAAAGTTCCCTATCACCAGTACCGCTTTCCTTTTGCTCTTGAAACACAGCCTTAAGTACAGGGGGATAAGACACCCAGTTTGCATGTGTCCACTTCCAAGCTGACCCTCACTGAGGTGCAACTTGTCCTCGCCATCACTGTGCTGGGTGTAAACTGCTATCACCTCAGGGATCCCCACAGCCTCACGTGTATCTGCATCTTCTTTGTTTTGCAGAACTTCATAGGTTTTTGTTAAAATATCAAACTAAACTTGTATTTTAGGGAAAAACATTTTCTTTTTTTAAACTGAATTACTCTGGTTTACATCATTATTTGTATTAAAACATTTCTGGTTACAAAGGAGAGAAAGCCCCGAAGAAAGCAGCCAAGGCAACTCCCTGGGGAAATGGACAGTTGCCTACACCATATTTATCAGAACTTTTAGTCATTCTTACACAGTAAGACAAACATTTTCCTGTAAGATTTTGAGCTTTCCCGTTGAAAACTATAATTACCATCCAGTGACCTTCCAAGCTCCCCTAGCTATAGACACCTCAGCCCTAATACCCTTTTAGCTCCATAGCTGCTAAATGATCAGGCACTTGGCTTCATCCATCTGTCCTAACAGTGACCTCTTTCAAATTTTTTATAATCGTTAACTAATTTCTTTTTATAGCTTTGCCAACATAATCATATTACATCCTGACACCAGGCAGTGTAAATTAATTCTTCTTCTTTCTTATGAGCCACTCCACAGAAAAAGAGACAAATTTTTCACCTTAACACTTGATTAAATGAAGCCTCTGGGAAAATTGTATCTCATCTATGCCAGCCTGAAGACAAATACAGAATCTTGAAGGCAAATTAGCTGCTTCTAAAATTTTACAAAAATCTTAAAGGGAGAGAGAGAGAAATTGAGTAAGAGAGAGAAGGTGGGGGGCTATTTATGTAAAATCAATCTTATGCCAGATGAACTAGAGCAGTGTCTCCTAAGCTTGCCCTCTCATAAGCCTCACCTAGGAAGCCGGTTAACAGTACAGATTGCCAGTGCCTTCCTCAGAGTCTCTGATTCAGTATGTTCGACCCCAGGTGCATTACAAGTATCCAAAAAGATTCTATTGTCACACAAGTTTGGGAATAGCTCACAGTAAAGGGAAATCTAATTCTTCTCCATCTTTCTCTAATGATACACTGAAATAGAAATCCATAAATTATGCTGTTTCAAGTATGTCTGTTTGACAACCCAAAAGAATGGAACATTTACCAGTGATGTTAACAAAGTATACCAGGGCCTCCCTGGTGGCGCAGCGGTTGAGCGCTGGGTTGCAAAGCTGCCAGCAGCCTCTGCAGCACCGGTTCCATCCCCGGCTGCTCCCCCAGCCACCAGAGGAGGGTCCCACATGGCGCTCAGACCTCTCCTGCCGCCTGCTGCTCCCCTCAGCAGTGTACTTCGGTCCTTCTGCCTGCTCTGCTCCCGGCTCTGGCTCTGGTGAATTCTCTCACCCTCCCGCGCTTCTGACTGTACCCAGTGCATGTATAAACAAAACAAACAAATGAATAAATAAATAAATAAAATGCCTCTACTAAAAAAAAAAAAAAAAAAAAACACAAAATAAAGTATACCAATGCATGAATGTAACCTTGCAGATCCACTTATCCAATTCAAACCCTATAAAAAATGTCCTTATAGTAAATTAAAAATTAAATAAATAACAAAATTAACTGTGCAGATCTATTGGGAAATACACAGGGTAGCTTTGCCTAGCTCAATCATTCCACAGTCCTTTTACCTTCCATACTGATAACCATCCCTGAAGTTTACCACCACTAACTAAATCAGATCATATTTTCTGGGAGGCAAGAACAAATAGGTTCTAAGTGTCAACAGTGGATGGTTGGTTTTCAATGAGTGTTTTCATACTGAACTTCAGTCTGGCCCTGTGCAATCCACATTATGTGCAGATCCTGTCTTTGTGGGTAGGACGCTTACATTATTGAATCTGATCAAGAGAGCTCTGTTGGCATTTTAAGCATTGCCACTTTTATACCCTTGGCCAGCAGGATATCTGAACCACAAAAGACCTTTCAAATCTTCCTGACATTCTGATCTGTTTCATCTTAGATTTTTCACTGTTACCCTTTGACATTTGATAAGAATGTTAAGAATTTTGTATTGAAAAATTCTCCTATATCAATCAAAATTAAAATACCTGAAAAAAATACTAGAAAGCTGACTTAGCTTCTAATAATTTGCAAATAAGTAGAATTACAATTTTCAAAATCCTCACTATTAGGGGTGGGTGGGGAATAAATGAAGCATGGACACATTGAAAATAGCAGAAAGAATTGCTTGGCATTGTCACCTTCAGAGATCAGAATATCCTGGATGATACTAACATATCTCAGGATATCTCAAAGAAATTTTTAAAAAATGAACTAAAAAAAAAGTTGAAGAAATTCTTTAATTCCACTAATATTTGCAGAGCATCATTTATATAAGGACATCTTCTTAATTAAAAAAATCAGAAGTAACCTTTTGAAATGTGGTTAATGTAAAATAGCTATTTATAGAAGGAAAATACTGAGAATGAACAAATGAAGTCTGCCAAGTAAGAAAGATACTGCATGATCACTTTAAAATCATGTCCGAAAACAATTTCTTTATAACAGTATGTCCACCTTCTTGTCAATGACAGACTTTCTCGGACCATCTGGGACAGACGCACACTTCCCCATCTGCCTTCATCAATCCCCTGTCCCTCCTCTCTCTAGCCCATACTCCTGCCATTGGTCTTCCAATGTTCTCTTCCTTTTCATCTAGCCAAGTAAGCTCTTGGGAAAAACTTACTTTATTAATTCACAGGAGCATGCTCTCTGTGTGGTTTCCTTCAGGGAGAATTCCAGATAGTCTTAGAGCAAAGAAGTAAATTATTAATGGTGGTACTTCCACAAATTAGCTAATAGAAAAGGAGTGCTGTCTGGAAAAGATGGGAGAGAATAATTAACATTTTATTTTCTGCCTATTTGGAAGATTAGTGGGGGTATTGGAGTCCAATCAATGTTCCTAGCCCCACCAAGTACATAACATGGGGTCGGTTCCTTAACATTCCTATTTCTCTAGTCCCTGTCATGGAATGTATTCCCTTGTCTTCCATTAGCAGCATAGGCAGAACTAGATTTTCAGTTTTCTTTCTGGTAAGTAAGTAGCTTTTAGCTCTTCCACTTACCTTATAGACAAACCTGCTTAAATAAAACCTGACTAAACTTCCCAATTCATCTAAAATAGCTAGGAACTAAAGAAGAAAGTAGTGGTTAAAGCACTAGATCATTTATAAGCATTTAAAAGCCAATTTGATTCACTTTTAAGATATACTGACTAGGTATACTCACTGCAATAAACCTCCAAAATTGGAATTTTCTGAGCTAGATGGATGAAATGGACTAAAAATACATTTTCCTACAGTAATCAGCTAAATCTAACCAACTCATGTTTGCTTTGAATGAGTACTCTGGTGCAACTTATGCTTGTGTCCTCCTAAGGCACAGGAGTCTCAAGTTCCAGCTATGTATACTACCCTAGGGTACTTTGGAACATGGAGAATAAACAGAGGTTCCTATCTTTTGTTACTTGAATAATCTTCATATTTTAAAATATTGTTAAATACTAAATAAAACTCAAAATCTGCTTCTCAGAAAATTATAAATTAAAAGACTTTCTGGTGTCTGAAAAATCATATTTCTTGATATATTTTAGCTTAGGAAGCTATTCCAATCATTGCAAAATATTTTCACTGGTATTTTTTTTTTCCCATAGGAATTTGTTCAACTGAGGCAAAGTCGAATGGTCATTTTACTGCTGTGCTCACATTACACAAAAAGTAAATTGACACATTTACTTTACACATAAAGTAAATTTACAGACAAGTAAATTTCAGTCTAAAAATATTCTCTTTCTTTAGGTTTTTCTGTAACTTGCTTCCAGGTCTACCTGGGAAACATGTTGGATGATTTTCATCTCTATTTCACCTCTATTTCCCATATACATAGTAGTAACTTTAACTGTGCACAGAATTTTTAGTTTCTTTAAGGCTGCAGTTTTTTAATAGTATCTGCTCTCTGGCACAATATCTCCCTTTAATTTTTTATAGTAATTCCCATTTTTAAAATTATTGGTAATGATAGAAACATGATTCATTTCTTAATTCTATCACCATCTATAACCAGGGACAAGTGACTAAATTCATAACACATTTTTAATGACCTGTGAAGTTCAGTAGCTAGGCAAAGATTAACAAGTATGTTTTCTGAAGTTAAAAATACTTAGAAATACTTCAATAGGCTAATTAAGATTGAGATGTAACATTTTACACAAGAGAATCAAATGTCTATTTGACCTTGGTCACATAGGCTACATAATCCAATTTATTTTACCTATTTTACAACTTAATGGACTAGATGCAAAGTCATATTAATCATTGTTATTAAAAGCAATCAAGAGAAAAACAAAGCAATTGACAATCCATAAGTAACTTGGAAATATCTAAGAATTTTGGAACCAGAAAGAATGTTAGCCATTTGCAAATCAATCAATAAAAAATCAGTCAAGAAGCAACCCTAATTTCAAGGAAGATGAAAAGAAGATCAGATTGTCGGTAGGACAATACCAAATTTCAGCTTAATTTCAGAATCAAGTCAGGGCATGGTTACCACTGGACTTCTGGACCAATACTTATCCTAGAAAAATGGCAATTTATGATTTTTTTCAAGGATAAAAGTCATTTTTTACTATCAGATCATCTGTGGAATGGAGGATATAGTTTGTAAAGAGAGAGAAAGAATACCCAACCTCTGGAGTGTATGTGACAGAGTAAGGTAGAACTTCTGCTAGTCCTTTCTATGATGCTCAGGTCCTTGTGAGGTTAGGGGAAGTCTATTAGGGAAAATCTGTGAGGAGAAAATATGTCATATATTGATCTTGAGCCTTGATTTATAAGTCAATAGTTATTCTTCCAAGGTTTTATGAAAAAAAAATATCACCCCTTTGAATGACAAAGACCTCTTGGCTTGGAAGTAGATTTAGGGAGCAGAAGTTTTGGTCAATGGGAACTCCACTGTGGGATGATGATATTCAGACCATAAGTAAACATTACTTAATGTTATAATTCAAAAGTTGTGTTCAGCAGTGTCTGAACTACATAACTGCCAGAGTATAAACATCGTAACAGCTACTCATTTATTTCTGTGCAGGGAGAAGGATTTTGTTCTAGATTCTAGGAAGGCAGGACAAGATTGAAGCAAACTTGCTGGAAACAAGGTGACAGACTGGACACTAAGAACAGAGCTAACCTCTAGGTGACCGCTCTGAATGGGCACACTGAATGAACTCTGCTAGCAATGATGTTAAATATCCAATTCTAGCTGCCTTCTTTCTGCACTGTAGTTCTCTCACATAATCCTCCAGTTTTTGGTAAAGCTTACTACACACCACAACCATCTTAGTGATATCTCTACTTTGGACAACAATGGAGAAGCCTAAGGTCAATCTTATGGTGGTATAGACTAGAGTGTGTTTCAGCTATCAAAAAACCCTAAGCGCTAGCAGAAATGGCGAGTAGAGACCAGGCCAGCAGGCCAGTTAAAAGTGACAGCAGCACTCAGGATAGATTAACAGAATCTGAAATTTTCAGAAATACTAGGTGTGGAGAAACAGATTGTATGTCATATAGTATGGGTGCTACAGCTATGTTTATTGAGGTTTAATGGCAAGATGGCCTCTCAAGGTTGAAGAACCTACTTTTTTTTTTTTTCAGATATCTGCAAAGATATATGATGGGTAAATATAACTATGAAATAAATATTTTGAATTATTTTTTATTTTTATATCAATAATCTATATATTTAAATAATGGTAACATGTATGTTATATGACACTATTACATGGCTTTGTTGGACCCCTCTCATAATTCTATGGAGTCTGAGGAGACCAGGATCCCCATGTTGACAAACTCTGGATGTATCATCAGTTATGGCCCTAGAATCCAGCATCCTTCTTCACACAACAACCACAATGTTAATCTCTAATAATATCTAATATTCCACCTACCTTTAATTTTTCTGTGTTTTCACTTAGAATTGTAGATTAATGAAGCTAAAAAACATGTTCAATAATCATTTAATGTAAGTCCCACAGTAGGCAATTAGAGGTTGAAAGGCCAGGTAACTATGACTATTAACATTTCGTAGACAATTCTGCAAAGTCTCAGTGATGTAACTGGGGAATAGAACACAAGAATCCCTCACACTAGATTCCATTCCACAATCCAATCATTTGTTAGTCCAGAGTCCTGGAGCCAGTTTTGAGCACTTCAGACTTGAGGGCTTCCTAAGCCTATCTAGATCTTGTTTTTTAGACCATGAAGGTCACATTACAGAGAATGATACTTTAGAGAGAAGAAATATCACTCCTGAAAATTCTAAATTATTTTCAGTGAGGCTGGGACAGAAAGCCTCATTTAATTAGCAAGTGCAATAAAAATGTGACATTTAGAAACAAATTTAAAAACAAATTATAACATATTTCCATCCTTCATTGGTACACTAAATGATGACATATTGTTCTTTTATAGTTGCCATTACCATGTTTTAATTGCTTTGATTTGCTTTAATTCAAAAATGTCAATTCAGTAATTACCCCTATACTGTTGGAATCAGCTCCATTTAGTGAACAAGATAAAATTTGACTTCAGAAAAGTAAAAATAATTATTATATAACACCAGGGGAAATTCTGTATCCTTGAGGTACTAAAAATATATGTGACTGAGTCAATTTATTTTACAGAAATGAAAGAAACTGTTCTTTTCAAGTTCTTAACAGTAATAAACCAGATAATCAACTATAAACTAGCTAATCCAGAATCCCTTTCAATCATTTATAAAACTGCTGATTCACTTAGAAAATAAATATTGAATGCTAATGAGGTGCCTGGCAAAACAGGTATGAATGTAAACTGTGGTAAGTCTTAGATGAAAAATTACAAGGTATTAGATGTGTGGATGAGCATTTGACTCACTGCCAATACAAACTCAGATATTAGGGAAGAAAAGGAGCTCCCTGGTACCAAGGTAGAAAAAGAATATTTCAGGCAGAGGAGAAGAACATTCAGGAACTAAGGAAAGTTAGAGTGGTCCCACTACAAAGAAGGAAGTCTAGGAAATGGCACAAGACAAAGTGGATCAGCTACCAGAGGTTACATTAATGAGATGGGTTAACGATTTGGTCTATCCTAACAGCAATGAGAAATCAAGGAAGGTTTTTAAACAATAGCATGACAATCAAAATTGAACTTAGAAAAGGTGACTCTGACTGAAACAAATGGAATAGATTGGAAAAGAAGAATGGATTCAGGAGATGAGTTTGGAGGCAACTGCAGTATTCTAAGTGGGAGATGATGGTAGATTAAAAGGTCAAGTTTATGCCTTCTATTTAACAATCCATAAAGTCTAAAGTGATGTATATTCTGCAATTGACCCATTTTCACAGAATTATATGTTTCAAAGCTAAAAAGGAAAGCAGAGTGATAATTGAAGGTACTGCTTTAGATGAAATACACCTGGTTTAGCACTCTGGTCAGAACCTTTTACACCAGCTAAGCTAATCTCCCTCTCTGAGCTTTTTCTGACACTCTCCTTCCTACAGGAAAGAGAGTGATCTAGTTCTTTAGTCTGACAAACATGACCCTACATGATGGACACTCTGCTTACTACCCAGACTCACCTTTCCCTTCTGGTAAGAGTAGATAAAACAAATTCTGCCCATTCTCGACTTGTGACTCAACTACATACTCTCTTCACCTCTAGATTCTGGCCAAATCCTGGTTGCAGTTCCTCCTCACTGGACACTGTCCTGAATTTCTCTTCACTTGGTCAACAACTACTCAAAACTGAGGCCTCAGTTCAGACAGCACTTTGGCCCAGAACTTCTCTTCCACCTGACTGTATCCCAAGAAAGGACAACCTACAATATAAATTTCACTATTTGAATGAATTGAGTGAGCAATCAAGGGAGTCCTGGAGAGTCTGACCAGTTTACCAAAGGTTACAGAGGTTGGGATGATAGCATGAGGAGAAGACGCAGGTCTCCTGTCATGTGTCACAGTGCACCTTTCTCTCCATCTCAATTGCATTAGCTTTCTCCACTGAGTCTTAGAAGCATACTCTTTGTGTGGTTTCAAAATGTTGTACATTGATGCTATGAGTCATGATAGTTGTGACCCAAACAGACCAGTGCAACTCTTCTCCAAAGTCTTCTCTGACTCCCCTGGGAAGGGGAGCCATGGCTCCTGTGGCTCTCCCAAGCCCTCCTGCAACCTTTTACAATGATCTTTCCCCATAACACTGTGAACTCAGCTCAAGCTAGGACCCTGCTGGACTTGTTTTATACTCCTGGCACTCAAAACTGTTCTTGGGACAGAGAAGTATTTAATATTTATTTAACTTCACAGCACTCCAGAGTTGGATTGAGTCCAAGTAAGGCTAACTAAAGTGATGTAAGAAATGAAGAAAAGCCAAAATAAATAAAATGGTGCAAGAGTAAGAAGACAAACTGTAACAATTTGCCCTGGGAGATAAGGAGTTTGAGAATATATATGGATGCCAAGAAAGGTAAGAAAGGATGGTGTCCCTACTGGAACAGGCTGAAAAAGCCTTGAGAAGGCTTTGGTCCGAGGGTAGCCTTCTGATCTCTTTTTAGTCAGAACAGAAGATGGAGTTAGAACAGAAGAAGCTCTCACCTTCAGACAGCTGGATAGAACACTTTCTGTAAGTACTGGGTAGGTATGTAGGGAAGACAACTCAAAGCACTTCCAGGCCCTGCTGGGAAGTCAACAGCCATAGATTTTGAGATGACAGAATCAGTCAGCCCATTTTGATGGAAATAAAACTGAGCTGGGGGCAGCAGGCCAAATGTTAGTTCAAATGTTAGCCCTGTGACCTCTGGCAAATTTTTGAGTCTCACAATTCACTTCTGTGAAATAGAAAGTTTGAACTATTCCATCTCTGATAGTCCCTTCTTTATTTAGGGATGCTGTGATTTATGGTCTTGTCACTTGGACTTCCTTAAAGCAGCTACAAAAGCAAGGGTGAGAAAAGTATCCATTGGTTAATACATGCAATGGAGACAACCAAAATCTTCCTTTTCATTTTAGTAACTTGATCTGGGTGAATTGAAGCCTCAACTGGTAACTATGTCCCTTCATTTCATCCACACAGTCAAAAACATTATCAATAAAAAGTTAGAGATATGGTGAGGCTGTAAAGCAGTGGTTTGCAAATACCAAATTCAGAGTGGCAATATTTTGAAAACACAATTTCCAAAGCCTTACCCCTGACCTGCCAATCAGCATCTCTAAGGTAGAAAAGTAGAGCCCTAAGAATATGTATTTTTTACAGATCCCCCATGTTACCTTGATAATCAGCTAATTTGGGTCTCATTTTTAAAGGAAAATTAGCATTTCTTAAAGGTAACCTGTAGATCACTTTCAGTGAATTACCTAATGTGTTTGTTAAAAGTATCTGGAAATATGGCCAAGAATAGGTATTTTACATTTCTTTTAGTGATTTCATAAATTCCAATTTTATTGCTAAAATAGCTTTTATATAAGCTGACAAATGAAGTCATTATGTGGACAACCTCAAATTCTACAAAACAATAGGAATAGTAAATTTTGATTGAGGTATATATGTTTAGTATTTATGTTACATTGTATTTAATCTCCATAACATGCCTGATATAAGCACTTTTACCTTCATTTTACTAACAGATTGAAGCATTAAAGAGTTCAGATAACTTGCTCAAGTCCACAGGATCACAGATAGATGTACTGGAACCAAAAACTAATGCCACATAGCTGCAAAACAGCCTGTATGGCTGCAGAATGTGTAAATAAGAATGCAGCACACCTTTTAATTAAATAACTTGCTGAGATCTTATCTGATGAAACAAGTTAAAAATATGTCTCAGTTCCTGTTGGCTGGTTTTATTAGCTACTACACAAATGTTAATGTCATAATTGTCACAAGATTAGCCAAGATAAATGACTGTTTACTACTAAGCAACAATGTTTCAGGGATTTCTTGGAATCATAAAATGATATAAGGCAGTTATCATTTTCAGTTAACAGCCATCAAACACAAATATTTACAGTTGAGAAACCTAGAATTGTGCTGTTCAAACCCTTACACACAACCTCACCTCCTGAGAGGCTCACCCAGTTCCACACCTGCTGCCTGTCTTTACACCATGAGCCCTAGACTCTGCTCTTCAGCTTGATATACTGATTATTTGCTTTAGTGCTAGAATAAGACTATACTAGACTTAACATGTATACCAGGGCATAAACATAAAATGCTAGTACTACAAAAATATTTTTAGGACAAAGGTTTTCTATTTTCACTGTTTCTTTTCAATTCATCTCATAAATATCCATTTTAAAAAGATGCACTGGGCCTCCCTGATGGTGCAAGGGGTTGAGAAACAACCTATGAAGCTATCTGCAGCCACTGCAGCATGAGTTCGATCCCCAGTCAGGGAGCTACATGGCACAGCAGACCTCTCCTGACTTGCCTGCTGCTCCCCTCAGCAGTGTATTTCAGTCATCTGCCTTTTCTGTTTCCCATTCTGTCTCTGTTGAATTCCCTCACCCTCTGGTGCCTCTGGCCTGTACCCCAGTTCTTGTATAAATAAATCTTTAAAGAAATACAAAGTCAAAAAAAAAATAAAAAGATCTGCTTGTCTTGGTCTCATGCTGAATGGAAATACAGAGTCTCCCAGATTCTCCATTCATGAGTGGACCAGTTTGGGGTACAATAATATAAGGAATATATATAATAATATAAGGAATTTCAAACATGTGATAAAGGTGAATGGACCTCAGCTATTATGAGACTTAGCTTACAAAGTTGTCCAAATCCATCTACTCTGTACCAGAATACCAATTCTTCCCTTTCCTGGACTCCCACCCCACTCTTTCCCTCTTCCTTCCCATTGGTGTTACAAACTTTCACACAGATATTTCACTAAGGTGAAAAAGGAATGAAAGTGACATCAAGAAAGAGCAATTGCAAAGTATATTAATTGAACATTCATTGGCTATAGATAGATTTGGTGAAAGTTTACTTTTTTTTTTTTTTAAGATTTATTTATTTATTCATACAAGCACTGGGTACAGTCAGAAGCGCGGGAAGGTGAGAGGATTCACCAAAGCCAGAGAGGGGAGCAGAACAGTCAAATTGACGAAATACACTGCTGAGGGGAGCAGCGGGTGGCAGGAGAGGTCTGCGCGCCATGTGGGACCCTCGCCAGCAGCCAGGGATCAAACTGGCGCTTCAGAGGATGCAGGCAGCTTCGCAACCCAGTGCTCAACCACTGCGCCCCGGGGAGGCCCGAACGTTTCCTTATTGAGTTTTCTTTTTTTTTTTTTTGAGGGGTGATTATGTGTTTTATTCTCATTCACATGTTGCATGCCAGCTCATACTGTATAGCTGTATCCCGTCATGTATTTTATTGAGGAGACATTTCTTTCACAAAATCAACCTAATTTCCTAAATAAAGAAAAAAAGGATACTTACAAATCTCTGATTAAAATATGCTGATTTTTGTTTAAAACAGGTTTAGGAAGGAGCTCTGATAAATGTTCTTTCCTGTGAATAATAATAATAAAAATCTATGAATAACAAGAAAATGTGAAAATTAATTAAAATATCAAATTTTAATCATTTTATCTTTTTTAAAATTGTGTTCAAATGTAAATATAATGATTTGCTTGACCTTCTTGGAAAAAGTAGAACCTCTAATTCAACAATGACAGTTTCTAATAAAAGTCAAAGTAGCTTCATTTCAAACAACAAGTATTAGTAATTAGGTTTGCCAGCGATAATAAGTAGTAGACAATTACTGCTATATTCAGTGCTATGAGGGATTAAAATCAGGTTGAGAAAGTCATCGTGGACATCATTATAACAAACATTTATGGGCAAAGAAAAATAACTAATATTTGAAACGACTACAGTTTTGGTTGTAGAAACATTTAGTGCTTTTGGAATATTACTATGGAGATTCTTTTGGATCTTTACTAAATGACATGAGACATGTACCAATATTTCAAGCAACCACATGGGGACCTTATGGAAGGAATCCAACTATCTTGACCCTAGAAATGAAGATAAATTACAATCATATAATTTCTGTTACCAAAGTGAGTCCTATATCTCAACAGTGAGCACCTTAAAAAGAAGGGTGGGAAATAATAGAAGTACGAGCCATCATTATTCATATTAGCCCCTCACAGCAACTGGATACTGCAAATTCTCTCCTACCACTCCCACTGCCCTCATTCAGACTGCCATTCACTCTTCCTGGGCTCTTGCAACACCTTAAATGATTCTCTTGCAGGAATTCTTCCTTCCTACAACTCCATCCCTTACACTGATGTCAGGTGGAATTATTTTAAAGTAAATCTGCTCATGATTTTCCTAAAATTAATCCTTAACAGCCTTCCCAGCACTGATAGGATTAAGCACAAGTCTCTTCACAGAGTACATGGTGCCCACCAGGAATTGGCCTCAAACTTTCTTTCTTTTATTTTCTCAGAAACCCAACCTGCACTAACCCTAAAACTCTACAGTCACACCAAGCCAATGGCACCCTTAAGCCTTGTTCATATTACCCCTTTCTTTGTCTTCAGTCCCTTCCTGATGGTCTGGCTAACGTCTACATTCATCTACTCAGGGTTAACTTGTGCAGCTCTTTCCCAGAGTGTTCTCTGTCCCCTTGGCCACATAGATTCTCTTCTCTGTGCTCTAAAATATTCTGGCATAGCTTTATCAACAAACTCATCACATAAATTATAAATTTCTGATTACTATCTGCCTTCCTGCTCCCACCTGACATCAGATTTTCAAGCCTGTTGAGGCATGTACTGACTCATTCATCTTGCACAATGTTTTTTGCACACAGTAGATATTTATGCAACAAATATCTACTGAATGTCAAGATGCAGAAGGTGATTTTCAGACTCAAAGTTATCTGAAGCATACTTGATCACTTTGGAAGAATTTTAAAAAAATCAAAAACAGACATCTTTTAACCTACTTCCGTTACCCACCTTCCCAAATAGTTTTCAGGGCTCTTCTCACTCTATATATGGGACTGTTTCCCTTCAATTGAGTCCTACTTGTACAGGCTGGATAAATAAGGCTGAGAAGAGGAGAAGTAAATGGAAAAAATGATTGTAGAAGTAGTAATAAAAAATTATAAACTTCAAAATTGTATATTATAATGCATATATGCACCTCTAACAAACAAGATTAAAAAAAAAACATACTTTTCTGGTCCTAATTTTTCAACCATTTGCATATAAGTTCTTGGTAAAGATCTAATAAAAACTGTAAACAAGAACAGAGTTTATAGTCAGATAAAACTAATATTACTTTTTGTCTTTAAAATGGAAACTTCTAGAGCCTCCCTGGTGGCACAGGCAGTTGGGTGCAGCGCTGTGAAGCCGTCCACAGCCTCTGCAGTGCTGGTTCAATGCCTGCCGGTCGCAGAGCAACCCACACGGCGCAGGAAACCTCTTCAGTCTCGCCCACTGCTCCCCTCAGCAGTGTGTTTCAGTCAGTCTACCTGTTCTGTTCCCTGCTCTGTCTCTGGTGAATCCTCTCAACCCCCCCACCCCCGCCCTCACACCTCTGGCCTGTACCCTGGTTCTTGTATAAATAAATAAATCTTTAGAAAAATAAAATAAAATGGAAACTTCTAAAAATCCCTACATATTTAATACCTTTTCCAAGATTAAGTTTGTTTTCCCTTTACAATTTCTACCGATCTCTACTCTTGCATTAGAATTAAAAACAAAATAAGAAATAGAAGAGTGAGGGCCTCCCCGGTGGCACAGCAGGTTGAGCACCACACTGTGAAGCTGTCCGCAACCTCTGCAGCCACAGGCTCAATTCCCGGCCTACCAGGGAGAAACCCACATGGCGCAGCAGACCTCTCCTGCCTCACCTGCTGCTCCCCTCAGCAGTGTCTTTGGTCCGTCTGCCTGTTGTGCTCCCCACCCTGTCTCTGGTGAATTCTCTCACTCTCCCATGCCTCTGACTGTACCCCAGTTTCTGTATAAATAAATAAATATTAAAAAAAAAGAAATAGAAGAGTGAAATAATTATTTTCCTTTCCATTCTTCGAAAATTGTTATATTCAAATATAACTATGACTTTGAAAGTGAAATTCATATATCTTTTTGAATATAGGAGATACACTAAACTTAAGTACAAATAAAGATTGAGACTCTCTACTCATCTCTTAAATTTTAATTTTTAATTATCAAAAATTTAATCAGGGCCTCCCTGGTGGCATGAGGGGTTAGAACGCAACCTATGAAGCAATCCGCAGCCACTGCAGCATGATTTCAATCCCCCACCAGGGAGCAACCCACATGGCACAGCAGACCTCTCCTGACTCACCTGCTGCTCCCCTCAGCAGTGTATTTCAGTACATCTATCTGTTCTGCTCCCCACTCTATCTCTGGTGGATCCTCCCACCCCCATGCCTTTGGCCTGTACCCCAGTTCTTGTACACATAAATAAATAAATCTTTTTAAAAAATTAACTAATCAAAGAGAAGTAATTCCTAAAAAGGTTTCAAAAATAGTAGCATGCCTCTAGCAACAACAAAAAAATTGAGTACATATCTTCTATTAATATTATATAAATTATAAGTACCAATATGCTAACAGACTAATGTAATTTATGTCATAAAATTATTATATATACTAAACACATTAGCAGAAATTAAAAATAAGAAATAAATATAGCCAGATATTCTACTGTTCTTCCTGAACTTCAAGGTTGGATAGAATTTGCAAGACATTTTTACTATACAAGGTTTAAGTTTCTCTCTATTATCCCTCTCGGAAATACAACTGAATCTAGAGACAGTCTGATGGATTTATGGCAGTGTGAAACCCATGGTGAAAACAAAACAAAACAAAACAGGGGTTTCACCAAAAAGCACCACATGCCTTGCTTGGGGAACTAATCAAGGTGTACATGGGTTAGCAAATTCATCATATTAAAACAGGTATATACTGAGATTTTGAATTAGCAGAGATCTTGAAAATCTTCTAGGCCAGGGATTTGCAAACTATTTTTAACTAGAAATATTTCCCCAAAATTAATACTTTAGCATATGGCCAATATATAAAATAGATGCAAGCAGAGTTGCTCAGGTTAATGCAACTAGGGTTTAACATTCTCACTCTCTTCCACAGACACAGAATGAGAGCTGTGGCCACGTTGCCATGTTAGAGATGAGACCACGACACTGGAGATGGAACAAGAACAGTCATGTCAAGGCAGTTTCATAAAGTGTCTAAAATGATTAATCCTGGTACATTTCCATCTCATTTTTGATACTCCTGACTTGTTCTCACAGACAGGCCTCCTTACAAATCCCAATCTGATCTCAGTGATAAAAGTAAATGCAACTATAATCTGACAGGACTTACACTTATTTTCTCTTTGATATGCACACTTTCTAATTTGAAATTTTAATGACTCAGCCATGTCAACTTGCATATAATTTGCACAGAGAATAAACATGGTATGCCTCAGACATACTATTTCAGGTGGGCCCCAAAATGTTAGGTATCAAGATAAATAAAATTTTAATTCTTTAATTTTACAAAATAAAAATAGGTGCAAAAATCCATGATGAGCAAAATATCAAAATGTTAAATAAATATTTGACTCTACACATATATAGTTTCATGTACCTCACACTAGTAGTGGACAAGGTTCTGTGACTTCTCTCAAAGAATGAAATACAAATAAAACAATGCTGCCACTGTACTTGTGTTATGTAAATGTCTACCTAAATAATATTTAGGGTTGTTGAAGGAATAGAAAATGTAGTTTGGAAGTCACAACCCAGACAGGGTGTGTTCTGTGATACAGACCTTCACACTGAGTCCATAGGACTGAGAATGAAGTTGTTTGTGAACAAATAAGCAACTAAAAAACCATACTACATGAGGCAATACTCAGTCTAGCATCACATTTGAACTACTTTGCAATTTCAATGAGCTAATAAATCTAGCTAAAATTGCTTCAGTAAGCATTCTATTCTATTTTTGTTTTGTTTTAAAAAGCAAATCATAGTTTAAAATGTATAAAAACGTGAACATCAAAGTGAGTCAGGTAAAAATCAGCTGATTCTTACAACCACTTCAACTGGAAGACAGTTTTAAAAGGCCATTCTTAAAACACTTTTAACTTGTCAAGAATGGCAATAGTAAGAACCACCCAAAGAGATGAATTATTGTGACTTTAAAGAGTTTGTACATTCCTGGGGAAGTTTTCTAACCATAGAACCCAAATGAACTAGCTTAGAAAAACAAATAATCCCATACCTGACACATAGTAGGCACTCAACACATATTGTCTGAATAATTAAAGTTGAAAAAAGACTAAAAACAGAAAGAATAGACGAATATCATCAAGAGTTTTGAAACAGAGACTTTAAGCTGTGGGCTACTGAGCAGAGATTTGGGAGCTGGGAGTGGTTCTTTAAAAGAAAGAATGGGAGGATTGAGAGTCAGCAAATAGTATACCAAGCTAAGAGTCTCCATAAGTAATCTTGGCAGTGGGCAATAAAGGCCCACAGCAGGAAAAGAGTAAATTTCGAGCAAGGGAGGTGTGGTAGATACTGCTGGTTGGTTTTCAATAACGATTGAAAACCATTCCATTTCTCTTCTACAGAAATGGAAAATTTAGATGGGAACCCAGTTAAAGACCATATCATGAAGTCTGCCATTCTACCAGAGATGCCACACTACTGGATTTTGTCATCTAGACATGAGCAGAAGTGATGTGTTCCATTTCTAGATTATACCCTAAAAGAGAGGAAGTATGGACCCTCTCTCCTCTTTTTCTCCTTTCTGAAAACTGGACTGTATTTGTGGGGGTAAGCCATCATTCACTAGGCAGACAAGGACAATACCTTGAGGAAGACAAAGCAGAAGATGAAAGAAGTCTGCATCCCCAAGATGGCCAAGCCTCTATACCACCCCTATACCATGTAGCTGGACTGTACATAGATAGAGCTAAAACCATATTGTGTTTAATCCACTGTAATTTTTTGACTTCATTATAACTGCCAAGCCAAAGTCATAAGTAATACAGATGAATTAATTTTTTTTTTTTTGAAATGGAACAATTCATGCAATGTGGCGACAGGTTATTATGGCAAATAAAAGAGAACAATGAGCTGAAACAATTATAAGGCTTTATGTCTAGGAAAACAGGATAATAATGAAGCCACTAACAAAATAACAGATAAGAAGGAGATCTGGTTGAATTTCAGGGGCAACAGTAAGTTAAAAAAAAAAAAAATGGGCCTGGAGCTCAGATAAGAGGAGAAAATTGAAAATGGAAATTTCAGAGACTGTATATCGTATAGATAGTTCAAAATAAGAATTGACAGAATCTTGAACAAAGAGAGATCAGTGTGTGACAAAAACTGAATAAGATGTTCTCAGAGAAGGCAGAAGAAGAAGCAGTTCTCAGCAAAGGGAAGGAGGAAGAATGTTATTATCTTAATGGAAAAGGGTAATGATTAAAGAACATAAGAATAGATTTTACCTTGACCCAAACTAGCAAACAGGTTTAAAAGGAATTTGATGTAGTCTAAGCTTCTAATCTTTTTGAAGTTCCCATAAAAAATTAAAGCAATCATTTCTTGAAATAGAAAGATATTATTCAAGGTTCTGAATAAGCCAGGTCTCAATCATGCTTTAGATTCAACTTAAATTTCCAGAATTCCAAGAGAACAGAAACAAACAGCAGGTAATTATATCATTCTCTCTTGTCTATTTTCACAGTAAAGAAGGAATGAGGTGTGAAAAACAAAGGGAAATGGAAGCAGCATGTTTTTGTTGCTGTCATTCGTTCTAGGAGGCTGATGTTTAAATGAGGAAATGACAAACTAAAACAAAGACCTCCTTCCCAACTTTTATTAAGTTCCTTCAAAGATTTCACATTGATGCTCTGACTTTCACATTTATACTTTAAGTTAATATAGGATGGCAACATTGGAAGTCAACCATTGCATCTAAAAAGCAATAGCTTGGGAATCTTTATGACTTGCCATATGCAATCTAATCACTGAAAGGTTACCAACTTTCCAGAACATTCAAGAAA